CTTCCGCATTGAGCTGTTTCATGAGAATTGTAAAATCGGATTCAAATTTTATTTTCATCTCTTTGGCCATGTTGTAAACAACCGACCCTTCTGGATTGTAGAGCATGGCGTTCTCGAAAGTCAAGTTTACATGTTTCTTGAAGTCATCTAGAGACTCGTAGCAATTATTTTCGAGCTTCTTCCGTATCGTACCGAGATCCATAGGCGTCTTGATTACCTCGAAATAGTCAGGCAAGCCTAGCTCAACAGGGTCAACAGGGCTGTTGAAAACCCAGCCATGTTGGTGACTTTGTAAAACCTTGAGAACATCTAGACATTTTGCCTTTATTTTCTGTGGTGCCAGTTGCAAACCCTTGTTTAGAGACGCAATGTGAATCTCAATCTGGGATATTGTAAAGCAGTTGATCAGAGTATGGTCCTCTTGTGGCTTCGGACCAGTGTATTTTGGAGTAATCATTTGACCATTGGAGTATGCAACACCAGGTGCAAGAGATGAAAGCTTCTTGAGGACATTTGTCGGAGCAGTCGGTGCTTGGCCGATGGAATATCCTGCTTTGGGTTGGGGCAATACTCCATGATGTGAAGGAGGCGGTGCCAGAAGCCCCTGGTGTGGCAAACGAGATGCACTTGTAGGTGCTGACAGTGGGTTCGATTTGGATGGTAGATACTGAGGTATAGGACCAGGAGGTGCAGTTCTTTGACGCTTCGCAATTGGTTCGCCTGGAGATGCTGCAGGAACGACTGGTGGTATCTGCAAACTTGTTGGTGGCAACCCTGGTTGCCCTTGAGGCGCCACACTCTGATTCTGCTGGACCGCTTGTTGGTGCCTTTGTTTGAGTGCCTGCATCTGCTTTTGCTTTTCGTGCGATCTATGAATTGCTTCGCGAACCGGCCCACAAACAGGACAGCGCACATCTTTACATCGATGATAATGACTCAGAACATACCGTGACGACACGCAGTGCGGAACAAGGCATTTTTGATCCTTGCATTCCGCAATATGCTTCCAAAGCCGTTTCATTCCTGCGCAATGAGGAGTAACTGGACAACGACCATCCTCATGTTGACATTTCGCAGCATGTCGCAAAAGTAGTAAACGCTGCTGTTGGTGTCTCAACACCTGTTGCCGATCCGAGACTTGCTTAGGTGCGGACCTTGACCCGGTTGCTGGAGGAGGAGCCGAAGGTATTGGTGTTTGGCTCCCTGTTTGGTATGCAATGGGCCCATGTTGCACGCGTGGAACAGGAGGAGCTGAAGACCCCTGTACAACTTGGTTTCCAGAGTTCATGATGGGGTTAATCTCAGAAACATTCACAAGCCTTTGACCTCCTTGCTTTTGAACCGGGGGAGGTTGTTGCATTTGCAGGGAGGTCGACGGCCTTGGTTGGACTGGTTGCTGTTGGTGTGGGGCAATTGGTTGTTGAACTATGGGCTGCGACCGAGATTGATGTTGGGGAGGAGGGCGATACTGGGCTTTATTCTGAGCTGCTAGATGAGCTTGCTGCTGTTTTTGTTTTGCCGCAATTTGTTGCATCCTCTTTGTCTTCATTCCTATATTGTGTGCCAATTGCTGAAGTCTTTGCTTAAGAGTGGACCCGTCATTATATTCCGCAAAAGATTTGGCAGATCTGTACAGAGACTCTTCCAAACGCTTTGCCATCTGTGGTAATTTTTTTAGCCAATCGGATGGCGCATTTGGTTTACGCTGTTTCAGCAATTGGACGCTGTTAAGATGTTAGTACTCTTGCGATGAGACAAAGTTTCTGTAATCAATTCCGATCGAGTGCTGAACGACTTACATGTTGGCAATCATTTTCCGCCTCTCATTGTAATCTTGATCTGATTGCCAGCCCCCGTTCAATACCTGGTGCAGGTTCTGTTGCTCTGGTGGCTGAGAAGTCGGAACATGTTGACGCGTAGCTTGTTCCGGCATAGCGACAGGAGGGTGTTGCGACTGTTGACTGCAATGTTGTGGTTGCTTCGGCTGTTGCTGCTGCTGTGCAGGTGCGTATTGTGTGTGATGAACAGTTGTAGCTGTAGGAACCGGTGCTGGTAGCATTTGCGGTGGCTGTAGAACTGCAGAGGAAGATGACGTTGTTGCTAATTGAGTTGTTCGTGGTGATGGTGCTTGTGGTGCTGGTACTTGTGGTGCCGTTTGCGATGTTTGCATTCTACTCCTAATCCCCACGAACCTTCGACTGAACTACTTTCTCCACCCTTTTGGACAAATTGAACATGTAACGCTTGCAAATGCAAAGACTTCAGTGCCACTTTGATTGAAACTACTTTTGCCCCTTACAATGTAGTTTCACTCCACTTGACATGTAAAAAATCAAACAAAAGCATTAGAACGCTCCGGTAAGCTCAGCTTTCATGCATCACACAACAAGATCTCTTTTGTCAAATACTGCTGGTATAGTTTGGATAGATGCTTGCCAGATGTTGGCATCATACTTCGATAGATGTTAAACGATGATGATTTTACAACCACAAATACGGATGAAGTTCAGACTTTCCAGTAGACAGCCAGTAGGAATGTACGACGGCATGATGCCATCACAACGAACTCGATGTAATAGCTTATGATGAGCGCCCACCCAAACAGTCTCTTCTTCCCACGCATTGCATCACTATTCAGACTCATCGTTCCTGTTGACGGCCTCCTGGAGACTCGATAAAGCTTACTCACATGGTGTTCAAATCGCGCTGATGATGACGACAAAGCTGATAGCGACAAGGGTTCGGTTGCTTGATTTTCGTTCGTGTTTGGATACTGTGTGAAAGCGCGTAAAGATGGTACGAGGAGTGCTCGTATGGTACGCGTGTAAAAAATGGAAAAGGGCAGAATTCATTCTACTGTCAACTAAAAACTGTTCTTGCATTTCGGTGTCGCAGTCAATAATTCGTTGATATAAAACTATGTCTGCACGAAGAATCATCTAAGCGGTTACGGTACACTACAGTACAGCAAACAGGTTCAGAAGGTGTTGTAGTGGCGACTGATTTCACATACCATTGCATTGGCTGTTGGACAGAGTGAAGTGGCAATACGACACGTTGCATCTTACCAGCTACCAATCGTCTTCTTCCTCCTCGTCTTCATCACATTCTCCAAGATCGACAATGATTCCAAGAGAACTTCGTTTGAATCCACTCTTTTGGTATCCTTTGTTCATCGTAACATTGTTCATCTCGGAATACGTCATTTCAAATTCTTCAACCATGGAAGTTTCCTTGGATCCAACGACCACCATAAAATCAATCACTTCGTGTAGTGGTTTCTGTATAGACTCTGCGTAGTTTGCCATTGCATACGCGAATTCTTCTTTGTCAAGCGATTGGTTGCTATCCTTGTCATGCCCCATGATCATCAGAGCATCCTTTTCAGCTTCGACGATGTTTCCTGACACATGGGATGCTTTCAAGTACTTTCGGATCCCACGAAGAAGTTCTTGGAAATCGATACTTCCATCTCCGTTGGCGTCCCAGAGATCGAATAACTTTTGAGTGCGGCTATACGAGAGAGCATCCATGGTCTTCTTTCGCTCGTTATTCGCTGCTTGAGCCTGCTGAATTTTCTCCAAGTTTTCTTCCACCATGATGATTTCGTTCATGACTTCTTCGGACAGCTCCGATTTATCGGTAAGCGCCAAGGTCAACTGATCGGCCAGTTCATCAAAAGTGAGGTTGGAGGCTGCCGCCACAGACATGATCAGTCTGGCAAAGGTTTCATAGGTTAATACACGTTCATCATTTTGATCCATCATTAGTAAGAGGGCCGCCGCGTTCTTGGCAGAATCTTCCATATTATTGGAAAGTTTGTACAGACCAATGGCTACTTCCTTAAAATCAACAGTACTGTCAGCGTCCTTGTCAAACATGACAAATAAAGCCATCATACGAGGATCATTCAATATATTCTTCTTTTTTCCCGCCATGGTTGATGGTGCCACCCCTCCATCCTTTTCTGTTTCCGAATTGTCTCTTGCAATATTTGCGACAAACTTCACTTGATATACAACAAATTCAGAAAAGTCACTGACAGTCGTATTCATGGCTGTCACAAGCTGATGACAGTAGGCTTGAAACTCATCTCGCTTAAGCTTTGTAGTGGCTAAATTTGCGTCGGATCCCGACGATGGTGCTTTGACAGTTTCTAATGCCAATTTCACTCCATCGGCAAAGGTCAAGTTCGACGATGCGGTCTTTAGAGCCTCCTGGAACTTGTCTAGTGCAATGGCTTCAGATGACCCGGAATCCTCCAGTATCAAATTAAAAAGAAAGTCGAGCTTTGCGTTTGCAGTCATTTGCCCAAGCTCCTTGACAAGATCCAGTTTTGATTGTAGAGTCCTCATTTGAAGCTCGAGATTCCACTTCGTTTGAGTCACAAATGATGATATGTCCTTGGAAGAGTTTGCCTTCATTGAGCGCGAATTGGCTGCTTCCAAGGTTGCCATACTGGTGTTGGCAGCATGACTAGCCTTGCTACTGGCGGTTTGAACACGTCGGGCAATTTCTAATCCTCGTTGCAACGATTTGTCGTCGGGACAGTTGTTTAATCCTGTTTCATAAGCTTGGATCTCCATTTCACTTTTTTTCATCACGCTGTAGACACAAGCCTTTCGGAAATGACCCCTAGCGTATTCCGGATTCAATGCGATAGAGCCGTTGGCATCTTCCAAGGCCTTTTCAAGATTATTCAGTTTTTGATAAGCAGAACTTCGTAGTGCCAAGCAAGGTGCATCTGATGGTTCTTGGGTCAAAGAAGCAGAAAAGTGATGAATCGCATCTTCCCACTTTTCAGCTTTGTAAGCGACGCGACCCTTTTCTTTGGCCTTTACAAAAGTGTTGTTTTTAGTAATTGAAATACACACATTAGATGGTGAGCAATATGAAAGTAGCATTGCTAGCAACATCAGTTGACAAAAAATGGTCGAGACAGAGGCGCATCTAATTAATTGAATTGTTACGATTTCGAAGGGGCTAATGCCGTCTTCATTCATCGGGCGAATAGATATGAACTGACCTCTTTTGCGCTCATGATCGTTGTTCGACTGGATGCGTTGGAAGTGATTAGTAACCGATACAGGCACACGTAATGTGCTGGGCCTGCAACACAGGGAGGTCCTGCTGAACACCGCCTGTATGTCGTACGTTTCCCTCCACGACTGGGTCAATATTGAAACTAGCATAACGGTTTTTTCGCCAGCGTAGCATTTTCCGAGCATGCAGATACGGAATCTATTTATTCAGCAGTACTGCTGAAAAATTCAGCAGTACTGCTGAATAATTCAGCAGTACTGCTGAAAAATTCAGCAGTACTGCTGAATTCCCTTCTCAACTGCTGAATTTTTCAGCAGTACTGCTGAATAAATAGATTCCGTTTTTCAGATTCCGCCATCACGTAAAACAATAAAACTGATAGTGTTGTTGCAAGACAAAAATGATTCACAGTAATACTATTAATATTTTATTGTAGACTAGCAATCGTAAAACTAGTCCTTTAGGGATACGAAATCAATGAAAGGATCGTAAAAGTAATTGTCGTCATCCTTATATCGTTTTCCTTGATGTTTTGCAAGTCTCTTCTCCTTTTTCTTCTTCCTTCCCAACCAGTATGCAGAATCCTTGTTTCGCCTAGTCTCCTGATAGATGTGGGCCCGGAAAGGTTTCAAGTCAAACGCTTTGTACTCATCGCGTTGTTGGTGGAGCATTTTGGGCTTCATGTCCTTGTGCTTGCCATTTTCGACATCAACTCTAAGGGAAGCTTCTGCTGGTGGTGACCAATGCCAATCGCCGTCCGTGTCTTTGGCTACCGTGCAGTTACCCAGCATAATCTTCGTTGGCTCTTGCTGGACATCGTTGAACATCTGCTTCACAGTCTTTGCATCGGCATAGAAATCGTCCGTGAAGAAGCTTTGTCGCCTAGTCTTGGACTATCTATCGATTTGTTCGTTGCTCCAGCTGCTTCCTAGAACCGTTCCTAGTTTCAGGAACTCATCTTCAGAGAAGTGGATCGTCATGGTTGGTTAAAGAGCTGCTCTGGCAGGTTGTGTTGCTTGTCGGAGGCGTTGTCAAGAAGGTGTTGATGGTGGTTTATATCTGACGATTGATTGGCGATTAATATAACGGGAATGACAAAGGGAATTTTAAAATTCAGCGAACTGCTGAAAAATTCAGCAGTACTGCTGAATAATTCAGCAGTACTGCTGAAAAATTCAGCAGTCCTGCTGAATTCCCTAATCAACTGCTGAATTTTTCAGCAGTACTGCTGAATAATTAGATTCCGTTTTGTCAGATTCCGTCGCTTTCAGTTGGCGCGCACGCATCTCAATAGTTTAACGGTCATAATTCGGGATTCCTAGGGTACAGGGTTAGTGCTACGGACGCCGGAAGGACTATATTCAGCAGGACCTCCCTGTGTTGCTGTTGCTGGAGTGCTGTTTAAGTGAAACTGTGATCTGTTGAGTCAAACAAATACCATTCATGAGTACTGGTACAGTCCAAATCAATTTTTGGAAACTCGCCAAAGATTTGCGTAGAATCCAACGTCTATCAACGGCTGCGTCAGCTCAGTCTTCCTCCATGGCTACTAATGCAGGCTGGTGTCACGAGTGGTGCTTAAGTGGCAATTTACTATGGCACGCCCCGCATAACCCGTGACTCGATTGCTCCGTGAGTGGAGAAATCGACGGCCAGCACCGCCAAAGCCCATCATGGTGGATTCGGTGAAGGAGGTGGGAAGGAAAGAAAAGTTTAGTACATGGGGGCGAGAGCAACTTCATTGGGAACAAAGACATAGTCAACACCCTGCAGCATGCGATTGGCAAAGCCTTGCATGACTGGTTGGGCTTGGAGGTTGAGATATCGGAGCATGGCGTCGCTTTGCCAGCGTCCGATGAGGCAAATGGTGTCACTGTCGACATGTGAATTGAAGAGTGCCATGGCTCCGCCAGCGCGGAGGGAGCGTGCACTGAAGTCTTGTTCCAAGAAGTTGTACTGATGACCGAGTACTCGAGCAGATTCGCGAAGAACTGCTGTGATATCTTTAGCTTGTACTTTGTAAGTGCGATTGTTGTGAAAGTAGGTGGCAAGAATAGTCCCTGGTGTTGCTTGGTGGGAGCGAAGATGAATAATTTGACGGACCACTGCTCTGACAGGGCAGAGGAGGTTGTGGCCGCTTAATCCATGATTGACAACCTCGCCCCAGGCGCCATTCTTTTGTGTGGTGAAAGTGAGAGAGACGCTAGTGGCGGCCCAGAGTTGTGCGTCCGTCGCGGTGAGCAAGGGGATGACAATTTGGCCAATGCAGAGCTGGATATCCTGGAAGCGGAATGGGGTGTCATCGTTCTCTGTACCTGTGTATTCGCCGGGTCCGAGAAGGAAAAAGAAAGCGACAATGATCATATCAGCGACCGCTTTGTCCTTGGCGCTGCCATCAGTACTGACATTGGCGATCCGGCGGATGAGGCTGATCGGAATTGGTTTAACTCGATTTGGTGGAGGATCCTGTCGTCCGTAAGCCCAAAACATACGGGCCAATCGGAAGTCTAGCGCGCCCGTTGAGTCTTTACGGCAGTCCTTGGACCCCATGCTGGCCATCGTCTGGCCCACGAACGGATCGCGCCTGACACTGTGCCAGCTCGTACGGAGTCACCGGAGGGGCCTTTACGTCGTCGATATTGCGTCTCAAAATTTTGGAGAAATGGAACGGGGTCACTGTATGGGAGCAACGGGTCAATGCAAAGTTCAGAGCAGTATTCGAGCCAAAGATTCCATTGGGCGTCGGTGCGTTGTTGAGTTCCTTTAACAACGCCACGTCACACGGTTTGTTGACTAATCCGGAGATCACGGTAGAAAGTATCGCGGGCCGCACGTGGAGCATTTGCCAGGACTCGATCTGTGAATAAGTAGAGTTGAAGTGAGCAAGGAGTTCGGAATCTGTGAGGTGCCACAGGCGGGAAGCATCATCATTCATGCGATTGAGGAATCCAGGGAAAAAATTGTGGAGTGGTACATAACGGAAGTGACGTTGGTGGTGTGATTGGACTTGTAGGAGTTGGATTTCGGTTCTGGCGGACATCAGACAAGCGACAGGCTTGTCGTCGTCCAAACCGATTGACAACTTTGTGGCCCATGAAGCCATAATTGCCAACCAGCCGTGCCAACATGCGACCCATCAAGTCGTC